CCCCAAAACCCCAAAACCCCAAAACCCCTAATTTTATAAGCTTAATTGAAACTGTAAGATACAAAAATTCTAGCTTAATTTGAACTTAGATTCACCATTCTACGAGTCTGATAGGTGACCACAAGGTGTTTAGTTTAAAGTTATCAGAATTCCTGTCATATTGTCTGTCCCAATTCCCCCTATTAGAGTCAATTAAAATTATCTTACTTGAGCTTTTAAGATCATTGGCGAGATTCTTATTAAAGAGAGTCTGTACTAAAGTAGCCATTTTCTTTTTATTTTTCTTTATGTTTCTGTTTATAAACTTTCAGACCTCAGTACTGCTCATTCATTCCCAAATTCCATCTCATGCAATAAATAAGAAGTCAATTTCTTTAGTCCTCTTTTGTTCTCAAATGTCAGGAACATTGATGACCATTTGCTTTGTTGGAGAACGATCAGGATCGCACTTATAATACATATCACCAAATGATCTACTAAGGTTTAGCATTCCTTTCACTCTGTTATCTTTGACAAAGCCTCCAGCTGCAGAAATTCTTTTCTTTTCAGAGTCCAATTCTGGCTTGTGATCTACACTCATTTCATATGCCTTAGACTTCTTTGAGATCACTCACCTGGAGTCTCCCAGGTTAGCAACGAATATAGTTTCTGGAGTTATAAGAGCAACTCACGCAGTAGACCCTACACCGTATGCAACGCTTTTAATATCTGGACGATCCCATGAATCTTTTGGAGATGTACTGAGCCTTATCAGCTCACTATTTACCTCAGGGGTGATTAAGCTTTTGTCAAGTTCTTTGAAGGTTTGAACTAGTGCAAGCTCATAGTCCTTGATAGCGAAATTTTTGTTCTCCTTTAGCACTTTGACAAAATTCTTCTTTAAATATTTTGAAACTTCAGTCCCTCCATGGCCATCAAAAACTGCAAAAAGAGATATGCCTTCTCCTAAGGAAGTAGTATCAACGATGTGAGTGTCTTCCATAGTTTTTCTCCACCCTTGCATTGAGCAAACTCCATACTTAATCTATGGGCAAACGTCAGAATACTTTAATGAAGGTCTGATAAAAAGAGCAATTTCTAGCGATGACATACTATAATAATTTAATTTTAGGAGCACTTTATTCCTTTATCTTTTTCAAATAATCTTCGAATTAGACACCACCATATGAAGAAATCAAAGTTTACTAAAGTGAATGCTAAATTTTCTGAAATTTAGCAAACTGTACTATTCTAGGTTCAAAAAGTTATCAAATTGCTGGTATGATCCTTTATTGTCATCCAGCCTTTACCATATCTCTTATACTTTTATAGATAAGTTTAAGAAATATTTATCTTTACCTTAGCTTCTGTACCATTTATTTTTTCTCACTTAGTAGTCGGCCTAGCTTGATAAGCTCCCATTTATCAAATTTTATTAAACACAAACTCAACCTTGTTTATATATTCAGGGGTTTTGGGGTTTTGGGGTTTTGGGGTTTTGGGG